GCCGCTGTCTGAGGTGCGTTGCTGGCAGCATTCTGGTTCCTTTGAAAAGAGCCCAGGATCTCTTCCTACGAGTCAACAAACAATCCAGCACCTGCTTCCATTTCTTCTCTGCTAGTTTCTTGCAGGTGCAGTGAGAACATCTTTCATTTCAGCCAAATAATTTGAGCGACTCTGCCCCGAGCTACTGCTCTTTCTTGTACTCTCTCCGTTAGGCCACTGAATAAAGACACCATCGTAGTCCGTCTTGCCCACACACACACCCAATCAAGTTCTCGCTCCCACTGACGCCCTCTCCCATCACCTTGACCAACCTGCCTCCTGAGACCCCCTAGAGCAGACCCACCATGCTTCCCAGGGCCTCTGCTCTCCAGCCGTCCCTCCCTACACTCGCGATCTGATCTGACCCACAGGGACATCTGCTTCACCACCTTGTTGCCTCCCCCCTACCCCGTCCAACACACGAACAGCGCAGCCCCCCGGGGAGGGTTCCGGTGTGCAGGGTTAACACGGATTGAGCAGTCTGAGTATGCCTTTGTTATGCTAGCCCAAATCCTGAGGGTACCATCCTCCAGAGCAGCACACCAGTGTTAATGCAGGCTCGCTGCCAGCTGTGTATTGACCCTACCACTCAGCCGGAGTCCCAGAGGTGCTCACTTTACTCCTGGGCACCCCCAGCTTCCAGCCATGTGGCCCTCTGCATTGCTGGGCAGAGCAGTGTGGCTGCTGCGTCCTTTGAGTCAGTTAACAGCTTACCCTCAGCTTTTCTCCTTGCCTTCCTTCGTTCCAGGCCTGCCCGGCTCCGCTACCCTGCTAGGGGAAGGGCAGGCCAGCCATGCCCATCTGCTTGAGATTGCAGGCTCCTGAGTGCCAATCCAGTGCGTCCCAGCTCTCGGCTCCAGACGCACCGTCTGCAGTCTCCCCTTGGGTCAGACGACCGAGCGGGCAGGCTGCTCCGCAGAACTCTGAGCCACCTCTGGGGGCCTGCACTTTGCTCCCCCCGATGTGTGCTGATTGTCTAACTCAAGTCGGAGGGGGCTAGAGCAGGCCTTGGTGAACCCCCTGCTGCCTTGTCAACACAAACACCTCAGCCCCCGCCACCTGCTTCCCTTCTTTATCTCCACATGCCCCTTCCAAACCCCCCCCGCCCCCCCAGCCTGCCAGTGTCAGACCGCAGCTGCTTCCCCTCATCCTGCTCTCCTTTCACTTCCTCCCCAGGGCTAGCCACGGTGCTTCTCTCTGGCTCTCCCATCCTTTCTGTCCAGGGGAGATGCTGCTAGGAGCCACCCAGCGCGGGTTTTCCTGTGGGTTTCCGCAGCCTCCCCTCCCCCCGCCTTAGTTTGAAAGCGAGCAAACCCCCGGCGGTGGCTCTCCTCCCTGCTGTGTAATGGAGCAGTAATTCTGTGCCAGGGGCTGATTTCTGCTGGATTGTAGCGGGTTTATAAAACAGCGTATGTCGTGAGTGAGTAAACGGAACGTTTGCTGGAGCCCCCGAGGGCTGGGCCGTCGGGGTGGTCCTGGGCCTCCGCCCTAACCTTGTTTTTCCCCTCCTCCCCCTCCCCCTTCCCAAGGGAGCATTGCCACCACCACCAGCAGTGGGGCTAGGGGCTAACTGAGCAAACAAGGAGATGCTTTCCCGGTGCCCTTACCGGGATGCTGCGGCATCTCCTTCCCCCAGAGAGCGCGGCCCGTGCTAGAGAGAGAGGCCCTGGGCCATCAGCGCCCAGGATTATGGCTGGGTTTGCGCTGGGATTCAGAGTCATTTCCGCCCCGTGTTTATTTGCATTACAGTTTGTTTGGAATCAAGCCGCAGAGGCTCTCTGGCTCCCCACATACCGGGCTTGCGTTTCTAAGGCGCTTGGACGCACAGTGCCTGTAAACAAATGCCTTGCGAAGCAGAATCGCATCTGTAAGCAGTGACAGATTTTTGATTTGTGCCCAGTGAAATCTCCACAGACGTTCGGCTTGAGCGCCCAGACCGACCCTGGGCCGGGCCGCGCCAGCAAAGTGCTAATCGGGCGTTCGAAGGTGTCGAACCGCTCTGCGTTTGCATAGCACCAGATGCTCCCAGGTGGAGCAAATCTCAACGAACACGATTTAAGTTTGCGGAGTCCAATGCTCAGACTTTTTGAAAGTCCTTCCTTTAATCCCTCTTCTCTCTGCGCAGTCTGAATGCAGCTGTAACCCTGGCAGTCTCTCAGAAACCCTGGCAGTCTCTCCTCTCCCTACGCCCAGGGGTTCGGCATGAACTGAGATTGTGGAGATCAGGCTGAGCCACTGGCGGGCAGCAGCCATGTCTGTTAACGAAACACTGTCTGTATTCAGCTCTCCTTAGCAGCCTCTGATCGGCACCCACCAGGGACTCCGAATGGCCTTTCGTCTGTACCTCGGGCTTTCCAGAGAAGTCAGGGAGGAGGCGGGCAGTGGGCGTAAGCACCCAGTATTCTCTCCTGCCTCTTGCATGCCTGCCAGATAGCTGCTAAGCTTTTAGTTTCTAGCCAAACCATTCCGCTTCGTATTAAAAACCAGTACATGGATTTACGGTTCACCCCCAGACAGGTGAAAATGGGTCTGGTGGCTTCATTGTAGTCTCTGATCTAGCAGCAAGGCCCAGGGGAGCCTACAGGCTTTCAGAGTCATTGGCCCAGTCGTGCTAAGGCCAGGCATCACATACTGGGACCGTCTGGCTCTCCTTGGTGATACCGACAGGCAGTGTAATTTAGCAGACCGAGCAAAGGGGCTAGGAGTCTGGGAACATGGGTTCTTTCTCCACCGTGCCACTGACTGACTCCATGACCTTGGGCGAGTCTCTTAAACTCTCCGTGCCTCGGTTTTCCCATCTGTAAAATGGGCCGGGTGGTATTCACCTGCTGTTGGAAAGCACTTTGAGCTCATCCGACGTTAAAAATGTGAGCTATGGTAAATATCTGTGAGCTGTAGAAGTCCAAAGTACCCCAGAAAGGTGGCAAAATATTTTACAAAATACAGCAAAGCTCCACAAGCCTAGGACAGGAAGTGAGGGACACTGGATGAAATGAAATGGTGTTTGTTAGAATAGACAAGTGCTACAAATGTATATATAGAATCCGAAATTGACATGGGTCTTTACAAACTTCACTGAAGACACATTTAATCTGCGCTGGAATCTAGCCAGGGTCTTATCCACATCACACAAATCAACATGATTGGCAATCTGCTTGGAAGAGGTTCAGGAATGGAGTAGCAGGAGTTGCCCAGGGCCTGTCTGAGGTGTATTGGGAAAGTTGCAAGGGGGCGAGGAATGGAATAGCAAGACGTGCTGCGGGTCTGGTTCGAGGCACGCTGGCAGAGCTGTGGGGGGTCCAGGTCTGGAAGAGGAGTAGGTGCTACAGGGTGGGACTCCGGTCTGCTGCTTGCATAGTGCCTGCCTACAGCACATTCATACGTGGCAGCAGGACAGTCAGTCCTTCATTATGCAGAGCCCCAGATTTTCCCTTCCCTGCCTCTCTGGCCAGTGAGGAGTCTAACAATAAATAGACACCAGACCAAATGGGAGCGAGTGGTGAGGATTGGATTTCGAAGTTGGAAATCCAGGCTGGGGCTCTGAGCATGCCCCATGGGTTGGAAGGCCAGTGAGGAGCAAAGGGTCCAGTTGCCCACAGGTGACTCTTGAGTTGTTCTCCCTAGACTGGTGGGAGGCCTCTGGAGTGAGTCCGTGATTAGCCCAGGCAGCCCCCGTGCTGACGAGAGGAAGGGTCGGCAGAGTGGTGCTGGGATAGGGTGACAGCTGGAAAGACTCTTGTTGCAGGGCCAGGACTCCTTGAAACGTGGCGTTCTGTGAACATGGCGTTAGTTGTGTACCTGGCACACACCCGCAGCGAGGAGAACACCTTGGCTTGCCAACGGATCAGGACTTTGCTTAATCTTTGCTTTCCAGCAGCCTGGCAAACTCCTCCTCACCCAGGGGAGTAACGGAGATGGGCAAGTAAAAGAGCATGAGTCTTTACCATCATTATGGCCACCACCCTCCAGCATCCTGGTCGATTCCTGTCTGTCCTAGGCCCATCACTGCAGTGTGTGAGCACCTCACGACCTGGACCAGGAACAGATTTGTCCTCACACCCCCGGGAGGCGGGGCAGGGCTGTGACCCTCGCTGGACAGCTGGACCCTGAGGCAGCGAGCGGCTAAGTGACTTGCCCAGGGTTGCACAGGAATCTGGGGCAGAGCCAGGGATGATTGTGCGTTGGCCACTGACTATTCACTTAGCTGGTGCAAAGCTGGGGGAGTAGCCAGAGACGGGGTATTGACAAACTGGCCCCTCCTGACTTGCCTGACAGCTGGGAGTCTGAGTCTCATTTTCCAATTTCACCTCCCCCAGAGGCGGGATATGGGAGTGTGAGCTGGAGTCTGCCTTAAGGGTCCCCGCTGCTAAGCCCACCACCCCCTGCCCACTGCTGACGTTGGAAAGAGCCTGGCTGTTTTCCTGGATCCTGGGGGCAGGAAGCAGCAAAGGAAAATCCTGCCTCTTTACTTGTAAAATGAGCCTGTTTGACCAGGGATCATAGACGCTCACAATCCCTTTACAAGTTACTTGTGACACTGGGCCTAATCCTGCAGGGTCCTGAGCGCGCCCAGCCCCTGCTGACTGCAGTGCAAGTTTTGAAAGCCCCGGCTGAACATAAAGTTCCTGTCACACTCTCCCCCTGGGTTTGACGCTTCCATGCCGGTGCCTAGACACACACCTGTCGGCAGCAACGGTGCCTTGGGTAGTAAGTGACACCTACGTGGGAGATCTAATTCCATTACCCTTCTGGTGTTTGGTCAGTTGTTTAGGCCTTCGCCATGTGGGTGGGACAGTGACTGAGACACACGGGGCTGAGGGGGGGGCGGATCAGCAAAGCAATGTGGAAATTCACTGGAATCTGCTTTTTCCATTTTCTCCTAAAGATGCTGATTTGAAAAGTGCTGGGTTCCAAACTCTGCTACAAACCCCAATTCCTCCTTTTTGTTTTTAATCTTTCAGCCAAACACGTTAACGAAGTCATTGTGGGCAGCGAACAGCTGATGGAAATCTAACACGCCGGTTGTAAAGATGCCTTTAAGGAAGCCAGAGCCCGCCTCTTCGGAAGACCCTTCGTCTGGAGCAGGCCTGGCAGAGCTCACGCTGTCAGCGCTCCTTTCCCGTGCAACTTTGTATTTATGTCTTAATAAAGAAGCATTTCCCGAGTTGTCTCTCTCTCTCTTTCTGGCCCCTCCCCACCTGGCTGATCTGCCTGCTGCTTTGTGGAGCCCGGGATCGGGGCCTGCCCGCTGAGCGAATTCACTGTACTCTTCCAGTAGCACTAACCTGGGACCACACAGACTCTGCCCATTCAAAAGAACGACTTAGTCGATCTCATTCTGATACAGACCCAGGCTCTGTGTGCTTGCAGCACCATCCCTATCCCTTAGGGAAGCCCGGTTCTGCTTTATGCACAATGGGAGGGCTGGGAAAGCCCAGCAGCAAAGCAGGGTTACTTCCTTGCTGTTCCTGCAGCTTCTCCAACCTCCCCGCCCCCCTTACTCTGGGACAGACACGTTGAATCTACGCAGCTGTTTTTCGTCTATACTGTGATTGAGGTTGGTGCGCCAAAGGCGTTCCCATCCGTACCCTCTGGATTTGGCCTGTTGCTTTGAAATTAAGCCCAAAACCGCACGTGTGGGGAGTGGGGAAGGAGGAAACCTGAACATAATTAGAGGTTATGTCACCATCAGCGCTATCAGCCTTATTTGGACGGCCCCTTTGCTTGAAAGCCCAGCATGTGTCAAGCCAGACGTGAGGTCCCTCTCCACGCACTTAAACTGTCTGTGGGTGACTCACAGGGCGAGATGAGTAACAAGCTGCCATGTGAACTCCAGGGCCGTGTGGTTGGTTGTCCTGCCAGGGTTGGAAAGCACCTGGATGGGATTGAAGCTCGAGCTGTTCTTGCAACTTTGCAAATTAGCCTGGGGCTCCTGCCTACCAGCTCTTGACTGGAACCTAGTCGGATTCAGTGGGACGCTTCTCTGAGCCTGGCAGTTTGACAAGGAGAGGCGCTTCCAGCTACTCGCCGGGAGAGATGATATTTCATTAACTGCCGTGATGCATTCAAAGCCGTGTCTCGTGGGCACAGACCCCCTGGCGGAAAATCTCAGCTTCCTGACCCACACGACGAGGGAGAGGTTCTAATCCAGCCCTGCCCTGCCTTTCATACATTACAAACCCACATCAAAGGCCTGCCTAATAATGGGAAGTGTGGGGAAGGGTGGTGTGCTGGCTCGGAGGGCTGTGCCAGGCTGTGGCGAGCACAACGCAAGCTAGAGTTCAGTTCAGGTTAGCATCACCTGCGAGGCTGGTGTGTGAATAGATGTCAAATCCCTTTCCTCCAAGGATCTCGGCTGTTTTGTGTATGTTAATGAGCTATGCCTTGAGCCGGAGGTAAGTGTCGTACCCATTTTACAGATGGGAAACGAAGGCACAGAGAGGCTTAAGTGACTCGCTTCATGTTCTGCTAGAAATCTGTCAGAGACAGGTGTAGAGTCCCGATCCCCTGAGTCCCGGGGCTTCCCCTTCAGCCCAAAGCCATCCTTCCCTTCCGTCTATTGATGTTACGCATCTTCTTAAAAACCAGCTTCCCCTAGGTTAATAGCTTCAGTTTTCTCTCCTTGGGCCGTAATTCTATGGTAAGGCCTCGCTTTAGTCCTTTTGTTGAGCTCATGGAAGGAGAGGCTCTTTATTGTGCAATTAGAATTGCGGTATTAATTTAGCGTTCTCTGACACTTTCCAACCTCGCTGGGCTCTGAGAAGTATTCTTTTCCCTTTACGACCTGCAGGTGTTTGGTGTGAGATAGAAGTAGATTGCAGAGCAAGATTTCACAGCCTGAATTATCAAAGCGAAGAGTCCCTCTTGATGTACTCGATGTGTGTGGCAGTAATGACGAAGAGTATTTCGGAAGAGTAGTTCCTTCACAACCCCCAAGGCAGGCACCGGGAATTAACCCTTGCTGACCTGCCATGGACTTCGTGGACCAGGTGGATCTACGAAACTAGCAATCAGGGTGACATTTTCAAAAGTGCCTCAGTGACTAAGCGCCTAGATGACTTTTGAAAATAGGACTTAGGCTCCTAAGTCACTGACGTGCTTTTGAAAATATTACCCCAGAGCTTTAACGCACGGCTCTTTGGGAGTGCAAATGTGACTCTTCCATACAGTACACAGGCCCGTACATGTGGCTGTTCTCACTGTTGATCTGCCGTGCTGTAGCAATTGAGCAAGCTGGTGTCTCTTACCCATTTGCAATGTGCCCATCACCGGGGTCTTTAGGCACCCTGACCGCGATGTACAAAGCAGCGTACCTTTGAAAGGATCAGACTTGCCAATCCTCTATAGATGCTGCCACTTTCGGAGCATTTCCAAGGGGAGCGGAGCTGGCGGTTGGCGTCACTGTTGCGAGAAGCCTCATGACACAGGCACGTCCTGCAGGACGCCCAGAATGCAGCAAAGCCAGGGCTCACCATTTCCAGTGGCAGGGAGCTCGCCAGCGGAGGGCCTGGTGCTGCGAACATCCAGCCCTTGGCTCCTGAGAAGGGTCTCGGCCTCTGACTTAGCTAGGAGTCAGCCCATTGGGCGCTCTATGGCTCAGCAGCAGGACCTCTGCAGCAGCTCGGGAATTGGCGAGGAGGCAGTGTCAGACCTGGTGTGCCGACGTGCGGCCTGGCCGCTGAATGCTGGTCCAGCGAACGGTTCGTGTGGCCTTCTCCTTCAATCCTAAGAGCTTGTTTCAGAGATTCAACCTCAGGGATGACGGCATGGAAAGCTATTGCTTTGGCTTCGTCTAACAGGAAAGAATGCAACCTGCTGGCTAGGCAGAGAGCAGACGGCATTTCAGGCCACAGCTGCTGGTCGCGGGGCTGGGAGCATGGAGAAATCTGGAAGAGCCCTAAGAGTGCATTTGCCTTGACAGTGAGAAGATACCGTCAGTGGGAGGCAAACTCAGGGCTCCTGGTCTAGTCCCCTGCTCCCATTCACTCCTGCGGTGTTAAAACCAGGCAGCCCAAGGGCGTGTGATCTCCGTAACTCCAGTGGCCCGGCCATCCAGGAGACGTGATGAGGTGGTAGGAAGAGAGAGGCAGCTTGTGGCCAATTGTGCCCACTGTCATTGACCTGGGGCCTCCCCTATCGGTCGGGGGTAGATGGACCTGGTGCTAATCAGAGCTTTCAAATCCACTGACCTTTGGAGACTTTGGATTGTAGCCTGGGGGGCACAAAGGAAAGTAAACTGACCTCCTGCTACAGACACTCAGTATGTCCAGTGAGCATGATGGCTTCCTTCCCGCATCGTATGCCTGGCTAGTGTGTGCCCTGCTGGGGGTAGAGGACAGAGAGACCGGCTAGTATTTACTTGGGGCGATGTCGCTGCTTTGTTCACAGTGCTAACGCCAATACGATCTAGCTCACAAAAACCAGACCTGAAGCTGAAATACTGGGTCCGCACCTTATGTTACGTTTCACGTAAGTCAGAAAACATTGCTGAGCTCGAAGCCACATGCCCTCCGCTCACTTGCTTTCACCCCTCGTCTGTCTTTCATGCCTGGCTGCTTTGTTTTTGCTGGGCTGGCTTGGGCTCCTAGAGGAGTATTTGTCACGATGCCCTGCTGGTCCCGCCAGCTGTGCCCTCACTAGTGGGACTGTCCCAGAATCACTCCAACAGCTGGCGGCCCAGGGACAGAAATGTTCTCACATAACGAGCCGCGCATCTCGCTTTCTGCACTGCCAGGCCGCATTGGCCAAAGGCTCCAAGGAGCAACGGCAGGTTCGCCTGGGTTCTAAAGGGGCAGCTTGGTTGTCTCCACAGGCCGTGCCCAAATCCAACATGTTCCCCAATCCCCTTGTCACGTGTCAAGATCCGCCAGTGCTGAGACCTGCATTAGAAACGGTGGCAGCGACTCCCTCGTTCCGTCAGCTTCCCCAAGCACCTGGAACCCGCCCATGCGTTTGGCAGTGGCGTGCTGGGTCACGAGCTTTGATTATCCTCGATTACGCCGAGCACACCCACAAGTAGCTTCCCAATAGACAGACAGGCCCGCTCTCCCCCAGAGCCTCAAATCTGGACTTCGACACGCCCCCCCAGGGAGTGGTAACACACCGGAGGGAGCGGAGCAGGAGTCTTGCAGGGGTTGAACAGTGAAGTGCTAATTGATCCCCCATCTCAGGGTCCGTTCTCTCCAGCCCTTGTCTGTGGGGGAGAAAGGGGCTTGTGCTAAGGAACAGGACTGACGCAGCTCTCCTATGCCAGATCCAGCCAGCCCCCTCCCCCTCGATCTCCTTTCTCCATCGGTAACGGGGGGGGGGGGGGGGGATACCGCCGTGCCAGGGCTGCAGGCAGAGAGCTTGGAGATCCTCGCGCAGAGGCTGTGAGGGGAAGAACAAGTCTTATTCCCTCACCTGCTAGGCGAGGAAAGCAGGCAGCCGGGCGCGAGATTCAGATTGTCAGCACCAACAGCGCCGAGGGGAAAATCTGCCCCGGGAGCTGACCCTGGGTATCCCAGGAGCTCCCAGCAAGTGGATCCTGGGGGATCGAGGGGTCATTCATTAGCTCCCCAGCTCTAGCAGGCCGAGCACCCACTGATGGCAGCAGGAGCTCGGCCTGGGCAAGCGCTGCAGGATTAGGCCCGTGTACGGTTCCTTTCTTGTCTCTCTCTGGATCCTGCAGGTTTTTGGTTCATCTCCTGGGTGCCAGGAGCCAAGATGCGCAGCCTTGCCCTGCCTCTTAGACAAATCAGCGTCCAGCAATTCCTGAAAGGCCGTCTAGCCAGTCATCGCAGATCTGGTCGGATAGAAATCAGTAAGGCAAGAGATTAGCAGCCTATATAAACTTGTATGTTTACCGCTTTGAAAAGGCGAATACTGAATTTGTTTGAAAGAAAGCGATCGGCTTGTTGGAGTGAATTCAAGGACAGCTGATGAGCCTGGATCGGCGCCTTTACAATTCAAGGCAAACGGTGGGCTGATTTGGAGAGGAAAAAGGGATTTTCTTGTTTTTGTTTTTAAGAGAAAATAAAAGGGCAGCCTGCCGCTTCCCTCCCCCGCCCCCGCCGTCAAAGCAGCGGGCTCCTGGTGTTGTATGCATAAGCTACTCCTTTGTGCACCGTCTAAATGGTTAATTGTGTTGGAGGAAGATGTGCGGGCGGACGGGGAGA